GGACCCTGTGCTGCACCAGTCACTGACAATTGTGTAATTCATTATATTTGAAAACAATTTTCATTTATATTATCTCATTTGCATATCACAATTACTCCGTATAGGTGAAGGACACATTTGTTTTCTACTTTACTGGTGAGATAACCACGGCATGAAGAGCTCTAGTGATTTACTCAAGGTCACAAAATTCTAATTTATTTCATATCCAAAAATAGGCTATTCATATCACACAGCAAAATTCAGTAATTGCTTTCCTAGTGTTTTGATTTTTAAGCCAATTCCATGAATAGTCTATCAGGCTGCAAATATATTTTCTTTTATTTTATGCTTGAACCATATGACTGTTTTAATAATTTTACTTAGCTACAACTTCTGTAAGTTGTATTGCTCATGTTGAAACATTTGACTTAAATAAATTAGAACTGCTATTCTTATAGAGGGCCAAAATGTTTTCAATGGATGGAAACATCATGTGAATAAAGATGAAAGCGACTTTGTTGTACTCCTCTTCTGGGAATCTTTCTAGGGATATTACTAAAGTCAAGAATATATCAGAAATGAAGAAAAGATAGGAATATAAAGAATAGCTTTCATGGAAAATTGAAATCATTCCTTTTAAAGTTTACAATTTCTACCCTCAGCCTTGAAGGATAGGTTCTTTCCAGATAGAAAGGTGACAGCCACAATACGATTTTGATTCAACTATGATAAATGTCAGGAGGTCTAGACAGTGATATTTTATTACAAACTTAACAGACATTTATGTAGCTAATTCAATGGGAGAAGCCCTGGGCTAACTGAGGCTGAGAGATACAAAAGAAAATGAGAATAAAGTCCGGGGGCGGGTGGAGGTGCAGGTGGCAGCCCTGAGCGGCCACCAGCTCACACACTGGCCTGTGAGCAGCAACGCCACCGCAAGGAGACCCAAGCAGTTAACAGGTCATGGCACATTAAAATAAAAAGATTACAGGCAGATACAAAAGCTCTGTATTGAGAGTATACAGAACCAGAAGCAAATTGCCAACACTGGTGGACTTAGGGAAGAAAGAACAAAAGTGATAAAGATGGGAAGGGAACAGGTAGCCTTGTTTTTTCAGACGATGTGTGGAAGCAAAGAGAAAGACCAAGGGTGGGAATGCAGAGTTGCAGACTTTGAGATGCACCAGTCACTGACACTAGAGTAATTTTTTATATTTGAAAATAATTTTTATTTCTATAATCTCATTTGCATATCATAACCACTCTGTAAAGGTGAAGTCCATAATATGCATCCAAAAGAGACCACCTGTCAGCTGAGCTTGGCTGTGAAAGATGGTCTTAATGTTGAAAGTCTCACTGTGGGATGCAAAGGTTCAAAAGCTGGTATTGAACAAGAAGGATATTGGTTGCCAGGAGATGAAATTAGGAAACAGAAAATCATGACTGGTATTGTTTTGAATGCCATCTTCCTGGAGAAGTGTTGATATGTGATCTGTGTTTTCATGTGTATCATTCCAAGTTTTTGTCTGATGACTACAGGCTTAGATACAGCAGTAGTCACTGGCAGTGCCTTGTTTGCAGGAGCATCAAGAAGAAAAATACAAACAAACAAGAGATGAGCACATACCTGAGGTTTATTGTCTCCTCATGAAGGAGAAGGCTATAGACCTCAATAAAAAGGGGAAGGACAGCAAACACCCGATGTACCAGTGGCTGGTGCACTCAGCAGTGGATGTCCCCCATACAAGAGAAAGTGAATGAAGGGAAATATCGAAGTTATGAAGAGTTCAAAGCTGATGGTCAGCTACTTCTCCACAACACAGTGATTTTCTATGGAGCAGACAGTGAGCAAGCTGACATAGCAAGGATTCTGTTTTAAGCCACCTGTCATGAGATGGATGAGCTACAGCTTTGTAAGAACTGCTTCTATTTATCAAATACTGGTCCTGACTATTGGTTCTGCTATCCTTGTATACCTAATCATGAACTGGTTTGGGCTAAGATAAAAGGTTTTGAATTCTGGCCAGCCAAGGTGATGCAGGAGGACAATCAGGTTGACATCTGCTTCTTTGGTCACCACCATTAAAGAGCTTGGATTCCTTCTGAAAACACACAGGACATTGCAGTCAGTGTCCATCGGCTTTGTGTATAGCACATTGTGGGTTGGGGAAAGGCCTGTGATAAGCAGGAACTGAATCAGCATTTCCTCTGTGATGGAAGATTTTGGAAGTCGAAGAATGAAGACCTTAGGGAGGAGGAGGCAGAAACCAGTATCTCCTCTCCCAGCAATGAGCAGCTCACGGTCACTCAGGAATCAAGAGCAAAGAAAGGGCATTGTAATCAAAGTGTGGAACCAAAACACAAAGAACCAGAGCATGAAACTGAAGCAGTTAGTTCCAGCCAGGAAATCCCCATAATGCCTCATCCAACTGAAAAAGTTTCAGTGCCAACTCAGACTAAGAAGTGAAATGCCTCTTCACCAAGAATGCTGCATTGAAGCACCAGACCATTAGTGATGGAGTGTGTCAAAGCATGTGCCATTAGGATATTTATAATATCATTCTCGGGTCATAAAAAATTGTCAACTTAAAAATTAGCCTGAGAGAACCAAGATGGCGACATAAGGTATAAACCTGTGCGTGCTGCCTCCCACAACAACACTGGAATTACAACTATAAGACAAAACAGCTATCATCCAGAACCATGGGAAAGCTGGCCAAGTGGAAGTTCTACAACTAGAAGGAAAGAAAGAAGCGCTTTGAGACCTGGTAGGAGGTGCAGATGCGCCAAGAACAGAGATATGCAGGCGTGCATGAGGCGGCTGCACCTGGGTGCGTGTTTTTTTTTTCAATCGGAAGGGGATACAAGCTCTTGAATGCACTGAGCTCGTTTAAGGTGAGATTCTGAGGTCCCAGACTCCTACGGGGAGAAACTGGACTGTCTTGCAGCGGTTTGGAAAGTGAGGGGGGCTTTCTTGCAGAGCTGCTTGCAGGAATCATTGTTGCTGTCGGGGTACGGGACTGCAGAAACGGGACTGCAGAGACGTGGAGTCATGGAGACTCGAGGAGTTGCGAACACACTAACAACAGTCGCTCTGCCCTGGTGATTCTCTGAGACCCGCCCCACTCAATTTACATCCCCTCCCAAACTGTGCTCAGTGGTGCAAAGGAATCACCTTGGCTTTTGCAGCCTAATCTGACTGCAGCTGGGTTAGAGAGCTCCAAACCTTCCAAATTCCAAACAAAGAGGAGAAATCTGCTGATATTGCTGTAGGTCCTGCTGGGTGGACTCACACAGTGGTTGACTAGGAGATCCAGGAGCCAGGGTACCCCTGGTCAGATACCAGATTTCAACTCCTCACATCCATAAGGGACACACTCAAGAGGCAGACTCAGTGAGCACCCACTGAAGCAAGTCCTGCTCCATAAGGGTGTCTCCAGCACAGCAGTTCTCCCACTGTAGTGACAGCTGGTCCTCACAGCCAATTGGCCTGGAAGTCAATTCCTCCCAGTGACACCAACAGTAATCAAGGCTCAACTAAAACAAGACTGTGACAACAGTCCAC